CCCCCGCCGCTTCCGGAGCCTTGTGAGCGGACACCGCCGCTTTAAGAACATCATGAGCGGGCACCGCCGCCTCGGGGGAACTGAGAGCGGCCACCGCTGCTTCCGGAGCCTTGTGAGCGGGCGCCGCCGCTTCGAGAACCTCGTGAGTGGGCTCCGCCGCCTCGGGGGAACTGAGAGCGGCCACCGCCGCCTCGGGGAAACTGAGAGCGGGCACCGCCGCTTTGGGAACATCATGAGCGGGCACCGCCGCCTCGGGGGAACTGAGAGCGGCCACCGCCGCCTCGGGGAAACTGAGAGCGGGCACCGCCGCTTTGGGAACATCATGAGCGGGCACCGCCGCCTCGGGGGAACTGAGAGCGGCCACCGCCGCCTCGGGGAAACTGAGAGCGGGCACCGCCGCTTTGGGAACATCATGAGCGGGCACCGCCGCCTCGGGGGAACTGAGAGCGGCCACCGCCGCCTCGGGGAAACTGAGAGCGGGCACCGCCGCTTTGGGAACATCATGAGCGGGCACCGCCGCCTCGGGGGAACTGAGAGCGGCCACCGCCGCCTCGGGGAAACTGAGAGCGGGCACCGCCGCTTTGGGAACATCATGAGCGGGCACCGCCGCCTCGGGGGAACTGAGAGCGGCCACCGCCGCCTCGGGGAAACTGAGAGCGGGCACCGCCGCTTTGGGAACATCATGAGCGGGCACCGCCGCCTCGGGGGAACTGAGAGCGGCCACCGCCGCCTCGGGGAAACTGAGAGCGGGCACCGCCGCTTTGGGAACATCATGAGCGGGCACCGCCGCCTCGGGGGAACTGAGAGCGGCCACCGCTGCTTCCGGAGCCTTGTGAGCGGGCACCGCCGCTTTGAGAACATCATGAGCGGGCACCGCCGCTTCGGGGGAACTGAGAGCGGCCACCGCCGCTTCCGGAGCTTTGTGAGCGGACACCGCCGCTTCGGGAACATCGTGAGCGAGCACCGCCGTCTCGGGGAAACTGAGAGCAGACACCGCCGCTTCCGGAGCCTTGTGAGCGGGCACCGCCGCTTTGAGAACATCATGAGCGGGCACCGCCGCTTCGGGGGAACTGAGAGCGGCCACTGCCGCCTCGGGGAAACTGAGAGCAGCCACCGCCGCTTCCGGAGCCTTGTGAGCGGGCACTGCCGTTTTGAGAAAATCGTGAGTGGGCACCGCCGCTTCGGGGGAACTGAGAGCGGCCACCGCCGCCTCGGGGAAACTGAGAGCGGCCACCGCCGCTTCCGGAGCCTTGTGAGCGGACACTGCCGCTTCGGAGGCACTGCGAGCAGACACCGCTGCCTCGGGGACTCTGCGAGCAGACCACGCCGCTCGCACCGACATCAGCGGAGGTTCCTGCACGCTGCGTACCAGCCCGCGATACTCCAGGAACGGGCGTGAGGTACTGGGTGCCGCAGACGAGATCTCTGATGACCCTGGGATGGCCGCCTCGGGAGAACTGTGAGCAGGCTCTGCAGCCAGCTTCATCCTGATGGCTGAGCCACTCAACTGCAGAGCCAGGTTGACGTAGTCCTCCAGCGCCTCCTCGGGGTGCCAGAATGGCATAAGGGCTCTGAACGGCTCGGCTAGGCCACCCCAGAAACATACCCGTGCGCAGGTCCTCTCCGTCGCCGACTGGCGAGCCACTCCTATGAAGTCTCTGGCGTACTCCTCAATGCCCCGGTCTCCCTGGCGGACATTGAGGAACCTTCCTGCTGGACCCATGCTTGGTGGATTATTCTGTCACGGCGGGGTAAAGGAAACACCGTGTAAACAGGGGTCTGGGTCCAAGTGCAGGTTTTATATAACAGCAGGGGAAAACAAAGGTAAAAACAGAAAACAAACAGAGCTAAGACTCTGACACAGGCTTGAAACCGAAACGGACTCTGACGCAATACGGCCACTTCTGGCTTGCATCAGTCCAGGTAACAACAATTACTAATCCGCCCAGAGAGGCGTGGGGAAGGCGTATAAATAGCCCTCAGGATGGGCAACAGCTGTGCGTGAGCGAGTGTGTGCACAGGTGTGTGGAGTCAAGGTAACGGAGTCCGGGAGGATGGGAAGTGGCGACCTCTGGTGGTGAGAGGGAGAACACCAGACGCCAGACCCTGACAATATATATTGGATATCTGGAAATCTGACCTATGTCTAAACATGTATATATGATTCAGGTTATGACCACAGGTTAGGGCGACACATTTACCCACAATATAACTATTCTTATTGTCGTATTATGAAGCACACATGCCTGTACGCGCTTGCACAAATCACTTTAGATTAGGAAACTTTATAATAGGTAGAAAATTACGCACACACAGAAACATTCAAGAGCATATAAACCTGCTCAATTAATTTTATGAATAGAATAGATTCTCTACTGAATGCTAGATTTTATTTTTCAGCAACAAAGTTGTAACCTCGCTGATTTTGAAGTACTTAAACTCATAGATTCATGATATAAAGATACTGCACAGATGCAGGTAATTCGCACGCATCTCTTTCTTAAATTCATTCAAGTGAATGTAATCTCACAGCGCTACTTTTTTCACTTCAGAATTCTAGATCTAATGGAAACTACCAATAATGTATCTGTTCAGTCAAATTTTGTGTTGCAAACATCAATGACAGTTTTACAATTTATATACGGACATCCAAAACCAGAAAGTCAACTGTGTTGCTGAAAGTGATCACCAAAGGAATTGTTCTAGTTTGGACGGGAATTAATATATATATACGCACATATCGTATACGAGTTGTGTCTTACATGAATATAAACCGATGGGACAAAAAATCAGATATGATCAAAAGATCAGATCTCTGCATTCATGTAAACGCAGCCTATGGCTGTTCCAAAATTGGGGTGCAAGTCTATAATACCCAAAATGCTATGTAGGCAGGCAGGTCACTAGGTTTTTGAATAGAGCTTGCTTGTGTGTCAGTTCATTTTGATTTATGGGTTTAAACAATTCTTGTGTGGTTCTTGAAAGTGCAAATCATAGCATTAGGCACACTAAATGTAATAGACCCCCTAATAGACTAATGGAAAGGGAGCAACAGGACAAAACTTCAGGGCACTTCTAGGAATGAATGAATTCTATTTCAGTATTCAGCCCACGCAGTTAAATTGACCATGGAGATTAATTAATTGGCTACTTTATGTGTGAAAGAAAAGAGAATATTGATATCTAATGGTTGATTCATAGCAAAGAAATGGTGCTGTGCAAATGCATCCGTGTAGTAGTCTTTATGTAAAACTTTCAGTAGTAAATGATGTAGCAATAAACTTGGAAAGCTATGACTTTCTTACGCAGTGAACTGATTCTGGACCAAGCCTGAGAGACTTGAGAAGATGAGTAGCTCTGTTCATCTTTTCACCTGTTTTGTTTAGATTGTGTGTGTGTATAGCAGCACTCAAACTGACAAGTCAAAACTGTATGACCGTACCGTGTGATTGGGGGGGGCTCTTTGTGGTTGAAGTGTTGGTACTGTCAGAAAATTATATTGATGCTAGTTCATTGTCTTTCCCCGTAACTTAACAATAATTTTTGAAGCCTTTATTCTTCAGCAGTATATATGCAGTGCAGTGTGCAATATTCAGTATATGAAACAAAGTTCTTTGTGCTGGGAATTCCAATTCTTCACAGACAGTCCCAGTCTTCAAAGCAGGCTAGACCAAAATAAATAACAAAAAGAAACAGAAAAAAAACCAAATGTATATTTGGAAAAAGAAGCCCCCCAAAAAATATTGGTCACTGAAAGTGATATTATATTTTCTGTAGTAGCTTTTGTATTATATTTTCCTAAATAGTTCTTGATTAAAAGCAAATAGAGGAGTATATGAAAATGAGGCCAGGCTAATTTTGTTTGGGAGAATTCTGGCATTTGTCCCTAACTGTCATGTTGTGCCTTGACTTGTCCTATCCCTGTTCTTTTCCCAATCTCTTTCATACATACCTCCAACCCTGCTCAAAACCACAACCTGCCAGCCCTCCAGCTTCCATCCTCAGAATAGACTCTTCCGTGTCCTTTTGATGAGAAATTTGGGTTAGTTACCTCTGACCTCCATCTTTTTTTTTTTTTTTTTATTCCTCAAAAATGTGCTTTCCATTCTGCCATGCAACATCATCCACTGCGACACTGGTCATCTTCTCTTGTGGCAGCTCGTCTCAC